GGGGAAAAAATAAGAACCAAGAGAGACTATGTAAAGGTGCAAATTTCCAATGATGAATGTCATTATATTGTATACCTAAAATGTACCAATAAAATAAAATAAAATAAAATAGAAAGCCACTTACTACATAGTGGCTGAGAAACAGAGCAGGGCAAAAGTGCCAGAGAGGAAGGGGCCAATGTCCAGGCATAAACTCCATGGCCATGCCTGTGACCAACCCAGACACATCTAAAGTGTGCATTACTAATCCCCTAAACTGCTTCCAAGACAATTAAGTTACCAAGTAAACTTAAGTAGCATGCTGAGCCCATTTCTGCTCTTTGTGCATACTCTAATGAGCAAAGAATGGCTAACAAACTAGCATTCTTTTACAAAGTCCAATTTTATAGATAAACATCTTTCAAAAAATTTTTTCTGCTTGCTTTTCAAAATATTTCCATTTTCAGGCTCTTTTTTATAAATTTAATTCTTAAAATCCCATTTTTCAAATCCCAGGCTGTATATACCTCCCTGATTGACCTGCCTGACCAATTTCTTTTTCCTGGTATGTGCCACAAAACATGAGACAAAATCTCAGTCAACAACTAAACCTGACAAAATTATCCTGATATTGTTTCTGGTATGGTTAAACAATTAGTGACTGTAGTGAGATATAAAACTCTTTTCTAATATTTAAGTTCTGCATATCATTTTTCCATTATTAAAGATAATTCAGCCCCACTTTTATTAGGTAAAGATGACTTAGATGTCCAGAACTTCCTTATTATGTACCTTATCATTGTGAACCTACACAGACTTTTTACTTTTACTTAAGTACTTAAATCTGAATATCCAAATCCTGGTATATGTTCTCTGTACTGTCTGTGTAAACTAAGACTTTCCCTGAAATCCAAAGTATGATCCTATTAATAAAAAGGCAGCTTTTACAACAGACAGAGACACATTCTGCTATCTCCATAACAAATTGATTAGATAGTCCTCAAGTCTAAAAGGAAATTAATATTAAACTGATTCACCAGAAAGTCTAAAGTTAATCAAAGCTATTAATAGATGTTATATGATGAGAGGGAACCTACACAACACCTTTGAAATGTCTTGTTATGAGGGATCAGACTTTATATAACCTAATTTTGAGATTTCTCTTGCTCTTTTCATTCTTCCAATGATTACATAAAATTATTTATGTTATATTCAAAGAAATTTTACACTGGTTACTTATATAACTGAACTACAATAGCTGGAAATTATGATCCTGTCCCTTTATTTTATAAGTGACCTGATAATTTGGAGCCCTGCTAGTAATTATCAGTCTTTATACCCCAGGCGTATTTATTTTGTGTTCTTTCCTTTGGTCTTTGTATGAGTCTAAAATGTTGGTGAAACAGAGCTAACAGACAACCTAAAATATTGGAAAAAATTTTCAGCAGCTGTACCTTAGACAAATGACTACCATCTAGAATATATAAAGAATTGAAAAAAATCAGACTCCCCAAATTCAAAGTCCCAATTCAAAAATGGGCATCTGAAATGAACAGACATTTCTCAGACAAAGAAGTAAAAGCAGCAAAAAATATATGAAAAAATGTTCAACATCACTCGTCATTTGAGAGATGCAGATGAAAACAACACTGGTCACATACCAATGATCCACTCCTAATAATGCCATGTTTTCATCATCTCTCAGTAATCTCATTAAGTAATGACCTCAGCAATGGAATAATCCACTGATGAATTTAGAGCCCTCATGATCCAGTACTTACCAGAAAGCCCATCAGCAACCAAGCCTTCAATATAGTGAGCCTTTTGGGAGAAACATACTGGTTCCTAATCATTACAGAGAGGAATAGCAGACTTTATTTAAGTAATAAGGCAAAGAATGAGAGGCAACAAGCATGACCAGGTGAAGAAGGCACTGATTGAAAGAACAAGGTACCACACTGCAGATTTTATGTCTCCTCACCTATAAAAAAGAGGACCCCCCCCCGGTTGTCACCTAGGAGTGAGACCCTTAGCTTTGCACCTGTGGTCATTCTCCTTATATGCATGCCTCTTACAAGCATGCACTTAGGTTTATTCAGCTATGTAGAGGGTGAATTTTAAAGAAAACTATAGTAGAATAAGGAAATCAAGTTGGAGATCACATGGGAGCACGGAAAAGAGATGAATAGGGCATTAAAAAAGGTAATAGAAATGGGGAGGACAGGTTGGATCTGAGTGATATTCTAGGGGAAGGGTAGAGCTATTTGATTTGGGTCTGGGGAGGGAAAGAATAATTTCCAAGTCTGGCAGGGTGCGCAGCAAAATGAGTTATTTGCAGCTGTGACTGATAACTCAGAAGGAGTAGTAGCAGGTCTGTCCTCTAATTCAGCAGTATTTATGAAGTCCTTCCTCAAGGTCTGAACAGTTAGGCAACAATGAATGGGGTATAGAAAAGGTTGTGTTGAGGTCTGGGTAACAACCTCATATATAAATGTCTGATGGTCTATGAGAAATAGAACTTAGAAGCTTTCAGGAAGAGTGTGGGACAAAGATATTAGAACTGTGAATTACCAGCTTACAGGTGATACTTGAAACAATGAAAGTGAATTTACCTATCCAAGAAGTGTGCGTTCCCTTCTACAAGTGCAACACAAAGGGGGAGATTGGAGGGAGCACTATACCCATAGAGGAAAGTACCGTATGGGACGACTAAAATTTTAAGATAATAGGGCTGTGGATGTAACTCAGTGGTAAAGTATGTGATTAATATGTGTGAAGCCACAGATCCAATTCACAACACAGCTATATTTTTAAGAGAGTACTGTATATCTTATGTTAACTGTTCTTACAATAAAATAATTTTAAAAGAAAAAAAACCCAAGAAGAATAGAAAAACAAGAAGAGACAGTCCATTGGTGGAAATTAAATTATTGTAGGGAGAAAGAAAAATACTTAAATTTAGTTTTGTCTTGTTTTGTTTCAAAAAAGAAGAGAGAAAAAGCCATTATGATAAAGAGCACATAAGGTTTTTGGAAGATTTGGAGAGACATTCCAAGGACTCATACTCTACTTGTTTAAACTGCTTAAGATGAACTTTCAGGGAAGTGTGGAGAAGTATTCAAATCTAGAAGCACATCAATGGTGGACATTATAGCCTTTTATCTCTTTTAAATATACCCTAGGACCACTTTGCTCATACTGATGCAACCAGATACATGATGTAAGAAAAAACACACTCCAGATTGCAGAGTCTCCACTAGGACTTTCTGACCTTTAGTGGCCAAGAAGGAATATCTGGGATCCTAGTTCCATCTGGCCTCACTGTGATTTCAGTAAGAAGAGAGTAGTGAGGGAGGAGAGCATTTTATGCCAAGTGTCTCATTAACCATTTTAAGGACCCTTGAGGATGTCAGACAGATGCTTTTCTTCTTTACCAAAGCTTGGATAAGAAAATTTTCTTGGTCCAGAATATATTACAGAGGCAACATTGAGCCCCAAACATGACTTCCTTGTTTCTAAGATGTGGAAGTTTTCTGAAGTGAACACTTTTCAACTTTGAATGTCCTTTTTCATATGCTAGAGCACTAATGAAAGGTACAAAATGGCACAAAAGATACATTTGGACCAGAATGTCATGAGAACATAGAGTGAAAATCAAATGGAAATAATGTATGCCAAAGAAATTTGTAAGTTTTAGAAAAAAATTGGATGTAATGTGGTTTCTGTAATAGGTTCTTGGATAACATTTGCAATTTCTCTAACCTCTTGTTTGCTCCTCTGTGCACAGAAATAATAGTACTTCCCACATTCATGGATTGTCAGAGTTATGAGTCAATACATAAAGTGTTTATTGTGCAGGAGTGATACTTATAATGACTTTATAAATATAACTATCTTTATTTTTTTATGTAGAATATACAATCCTCTCTCAAGGATTAAGACCAGGAGAATCGTTACTTGAGTTGGAATTCTACTTCATGTCTGTCCCATACGTTTTACAACCATTTAATTAAGGAAGTGTCTAGAATTCCTCATAAAGTACTTTCTCTGCAAGGAGGTGGGACCACATGTCTTCCAAGATGAAAGATGCATTCAAACGACCACTTGATGTGAAGGTACTGTGAAAAGAACCTGTGGACCAAGTAAAGATCTGTCCTTACCAGTGTAGTCAAGCATCATGCAAACTCTTGAACATCCAAACACAACAAGGATGGAGGAATGTCTAATTCAGTCCCTCTCTTTTTAAACTGGGACGTCCATCTTCTCCTGCCTTGGAGATCAGCTGGCCAGGCCTTGGGAATCATATGGAATTATACCACCTGCTTCCCTAGTTCTCCAACTTGCACATGGAAGATGGAGGGGTTTCTCAGCTTCCATAATCACATAAGATGGTACTCATAGTAAGTATATATTTCCATTGGTTCCATTTCTCCAAAGTACCTTGAGTAATAATATATTGTACACTTCTTGAATACCTGATGCTGCACAAAGTGCTTCTCATATATTATTTCATTTAATTCTTCAAACATACAGCATATTATCTACATTATGAATAAGGAAACTAGGGTTCTTTATAGAATTGATTTTTTCCCTTCATATAATTTGCATGTATATGTTTGAATATTTTATTACTGTCAAATATAATTGTTATGTAGGCAAAGCTTTCTTTTACAAGATATAGAGCAGTCCACTTTTCTGTTTGATGAGGTCAGAGAGATAGCATAGGAATCTTCACAAGTTCAACTTGTCAGAGCAACGGTGGTCTAGGCTTCATTGTTCATAGAGTGGGGACTGGACTGTCCGCCCCCTCTTATTTCCAATGTGCTGACTCCAAATATTTATACTTCAGTGGAATATGGTGGATTCTCCGGGAGAGGAGTACCACTCTAAGGAGCGAAGGTGAGCTTCCTTTTCAACAGCCATTCTTCTAAAACATTTAAATCAGAGAAGAACATCTCTGAAAGGTTTGGTCAGTATGAACACTAAAGATATACAGAAGTAGGAATGTGAGAGGAGCTGCTATGTAGACAGAAAAGGGCTTCAATCATTGAATGACAGTTAACACTGCAGATTTCTTCAAGTCTCGCTGCTTATCTGTAATTGACCTGCTTATGTTGCTCATTGTGTGCATAAATGTTCTGCCTCATTGGCTCAGACAAGTTAATAACCTGTGCACAGGGAACTTACTACATATTAAGTACTTTCATTTGCTAATATGTCGATTAACTGTGATATAACAACTTGATTTGGATTCAAAAACACCTAGTAGATTAGTAAAGCACATTTTGGTGTGTGTCTAGGTAGGTCATGAAAGTGTTACCTCGGGTACTATACATATATATATATATATACACTATATATATGTATATGGTCTCTGACTCCTTCTTCTCTTGTACTGTTCTGTTCTGCTTCCTGACCACCATGAACTAAGCAGCTTTGTTCCTTCGTGCCATTCTGTCGAGAGGTTTTTGACTTGGAGCCAGCTGATCATGGACTAAATTGCCTGAAACAATGAGTCAAATTGAACTTCTCCTTTAAGTTGTGGGTGTTGGGTATTATGTCCCAGGAACAGGAAAGCTGACCAATACATTTCAAGAGTTCAATTCGATTGACAGGCAAGAGTTGGCACTACTTTAGGAGTTGTTGTGATTCTTACATTGAAAGACAGATAAGTGTTTCATGTAGAATACTCTTACCATATTGCTTCATCTACAGATAAAGTTTGCAGTGCTAATCTGTTTAGAATATGTTGAAAGTTGAATGGTATCCCTCTAAATTCCATACATTGAAGTCATAACCACCAGTACTTCAGAATGTGACCTTAATTTAGAAATAGGCTCATTGAAGATACAACTAAAATAAGGTTGCTAGTGTGGCCCATAAATCCATCCAGATGTCTTCACAAAAAGGAGATTTTGGACATACAGACACATACCTAGCGAGATTACCACGTGAACATGAAGGCAGAGATTGTTGTGTTGCATCTATAATCCTAATAGAGAGCCCTAAAATGGGTCCTTCCCTCACAGTACTCTGAAGGAACCAACCCTAGCAACACCTTCATTTCCAACTTCTAGCCTTCCAAACTGTGAAATAACAAATGTCTATTGTTCAAAACCATCCAATTTGTGCTAATACCACTAGTCATATACATTTAAAAATATGTTATAAAGACAGTCACTATCTGTGTCTAATGATAAAATTGTCCCAGTGATAGAATGACTTCAGAGCAAGAATTTGGGAGTATGGCTAGATTTGGCATACTCTATGGTTTGTTACTGTCACAGTGTTATGGTTGATTATAATAATTGCTAGCATGCAATTTCTCTACTTATTGTTAATTTGCTGATTAAATTGACTGAATCTATTTCAAGTGACAGAATAATGGATAATTATAACTTTTAGTAAGGATTTGTTAGCAAATTTCCAAATTAAACTTTCTATCAATGCAATACAGAAATAATCAGTTAGTTCTCATTCCACTTTGTTTTATTTTTAAAAAGTGGAATTTTTAGGTTTTCTGAATGTTTGAATTATCTGTGTGTGTGTGTGTGAAGGTTTGTTTTTGTTTAGCTTTTGTACTTTTGCAAAACCCATAATTGTTATTTTAATCATTTTTAATATAAGTAGTATGGGAAGAATCAAATATTTTTTTCCTAAAATACATTTTTTTTCTTTATTTGGAACCTATATATAGCCTTCGCTAAATTTTTATGGGAGGGTACATGTATATATTAGAAATAATTTCTTTTAATGCTTCTAAACTCATCTTGTAGATTTTTATAATTCAGCATTTCTTTCAAATTCTGACAAATGAAGCTTTAGGTAAAGAATCCAATCATTATCATAAACATAAGTCTCAAAGCTATAATTTTTATTCCTGTTATAGTAAGGGTACATACAAACTATCTCAATTAAGATAACTTAAAGAAAACTACAATAAGAATCATGATACTCTACACAACTTACAATACAGCTAAAGATATGGAATGCCACCTATGTGTCTTAGCCCCATATGTGCTGCTGTAAACAGAATACTTGGGATTGGGTAATTTACAAAGAATAGAGATTTATGTCTTATAGGTCTGAAGGCTGGGAAGTCCAAGATCAAGGGGCTCGCATCTGGTGAGGGCCTTCTTACTTTGTCATTCTCTGGGGGAAGGGCAAGAGTTCAAATAGAGTGAAAAAGAGATGGAGCTCACAACCTCCAGGCCTTTCATAATTGGCATAATCTATTCATAAGGGTAGAGCTCCCATGAACTTATCAATTTAAATTTATTTTATTTCTGTAGTGTTAGAATCTTCTCCTTTAATAAGAAAAAACTATTTTTCATTTATATCCTAAGAATTAGCAGACATTAGCTGGCTTTTTAGAATGTATTGAGGCACAAAAATTATACTGGAAAACTTGCTAGACAGAAAAAAACCCCTCTAAATTCACCTATATTCTGTATTTCAAAGCTTTGATTTTTGCAATCACTCAGTAATCTCTTTGGTAGATTTTATGAGGATCAGATTCCACAGTATTTTATTTATTTATTTATATTATTCCATTAGACTATAAGGTAAATATTTTATAAAAATTTTAATAAATTCTGAAATATGTCCTGGATTTGACAGGAAATAAAACATTTCATCTACTTTTCATAAGTTTGGAAGTTAGAGTAGAGTAATCACTTACGAACAAAAAGAAAAGTCTTATATGGAACGTTCCACAGTTAATGCTGAAATTAATCCAAATTTGAATCTCAGCTGTTCTGTAAGGTTGTGCTGATCACATAAGCAGGAAAGCCAGTTTCTAGGTATTGGCTAGAATAATTCTGATTCTCAACTTTAAGTTAAACACTGTTGGCCTTATTTTTTTAATTGTACAAAAAAGGAGTGTTTTTTTCATTGAAGGTTTCCTATTCATCATCATTTCTAATATTTCAAGTATTCAGCAGAAAGGTGCTCACTTTTCTCCATTTATTTTCATCAATAAAAATCCTTTCCTCTTCTCATGACTAAGCCTGCAACCAAAGATTATCACATCCTACAGTAAAGACAGATTACCAATTTAACATAAATCAGACTTATTAGTAATTTGAGACATAGAATTCCCTTTGTATTTGTCAGCATTCCTATGCTGAGACACAATATTCAACACCCACAATTTAAAGGAGGAAAGGTTTAATGTAGTTTTTGCTTTGGGGAGAGTGAGTACATGGTTGACATGTCCCAAGGTAGAAGCTTCATAGCAGAAGGGTATGGCAGGACAAAGCTGCTTAGATCATGATGGCTGGGAAGCAGGACAAGGGAACAGTTACAGAGAGGAAGAGGTGACATATCAGACATAGGCTCCATGGCCACACCTCCATGACTCCCCAAGACATAATTAGAAGTGTGGTCCACCAATCCCTGGGATGGACCCTAAAGCCAATTGAGTTGAAACTCCTCCCTAACCATCATGTCCCACCTCTTTTAACTTACTACACAAACACATCTTTTTAAACCATGCTTAATCTCCAAATAAAGACAATAACAAGTTCATAATTTCACTTAACATAACTATCCCATGTGGGACCAAAAATGCAATAATCCCTTCCCCAAAGTCTCAACAGTTCCAGCATTTTTCAAAAGTCCAAGTCCATGTCTCTTCTGAGACTGAAGGCAAACTTTTATCTGTGAACCTCTGTAAAGATTAAAGGCAAGGGCCATGGATTTAGCTCAGTAGTTCTAGCACCTGCCTTGAAAGCACAAGGTCCCGAGTTTGATCCCTGGTACCAAAAAAAAAAAAAAAAAATTAAAAGCAAGGTACATAATCCCAAGGCAAAATATCACAAGGTAAACACTTTCATTTCAAAAGGGAGAAATAGGGAGATAAAAAGAATCAGACCAAATTAAGACTAACATCCAGCAGGGCAAACATTAAGTCCTGTAGGTTCATATCTGGTATCTGGGGCACATTGTGGTAAATTGAGTTCCTAAGAGCTTCAGCAGCCCCACAACTATGGCTTTGCCAGTGGCAGCCCACATGGGCTCTCCCTTGGGCTGACTCCTTTTGTGGCCTGCAGCTTTCCATGGCAGACATCCTAAATTTCTGGGATTTCGGACTTTCTGAGATATCTGCTATATTTTCACCTTCATTCCCACTCTTCATGCTCTTCCCTCTTTTTTTTTTTTTTTTTTGGTACCAGGGATCAAATTCAGGACCTTGCGCTTGCAAGGCAGGTGGTGGAACCACTAAGCTAAATCCCAGCCCATCTTTAGTTTCTTTTTAATAGCACTAATCTCTCTTTTCTTTTGGATTAAATTCCTTTATTGGTATATTTTAGGTATACAATATGTTTACATTTATCATTGAGTACTTGTACCTGTACATGATGTATCTTGGTTCTTATTTTTTCCCCATTCCCTGTCCTCCCTTCATCCCCTCCACCTTTCACTATTTACAGAGACTTTGTTTCCATTTTTTCCTTTTCTCATAATTTTTCCTTTTCCTTCTTGCCTTTTCCCTTCCCTTCCCACTTCCCCTAACCCTTTGGACCTTTTCTTCCTATTTCAAATTATCAATTATTTGTTTTAATCGTTTTAAGCCTTATTTACACTTTCAGTTTCTCACACCAGAGAAACTATTGGGTATTTACACATGTGTGTCCTATTCATTTCACTTAAGAGTATGGCCTCAATATGCATCCATTTAGCTATAAATGTCTCTAGTTTCTCGTTCTTTATGGCTGAGTAGTACTCCATTTTATAAAAAAAGTCACATCTTCTATATCCAGTTTCCAGTTGATGGGCACTTGGACTGTTTCCAAGCTTTAGCTATTACAAACTGTGCCACTATGAACATGGGTGGATATATATCACTGTGGTATGATTCTTTTAATTCTTTTGGAAAGATACCCACCAGGGGAATAGCTGGGTCAAATGGGACCTCTAGTTCTAGTTCTTTGAGGTGTCACCATACTGATTTCCACAGTGTTTTCTCCAGTCTGCACTCCCACTAACAATGGAGAAGGGTTCCTTTCTCCCCACAACTCCGCCAGCATTTGTTATTGGTTGATTTCTTGATAGCAGCCATTCTTTGTGGGGTGAGGTGGAATCTCAGTGTTGTTTTCATCTGCATCTCTCAAATGACCAGTGATGTTGAACATTTTTTCATATGTTTATTTTCTGCTTTTACTTGTCTGAGAAATGTCTGTTCATTTCAGATGCCCATTTTAGAATCGGGTCTTTGAATTTGGGGGGTCTGATTTTTTTCAGTTCTTTATATATTCTAGATAGTAGTCCTTTGTCTCAAGTACAGCTGCTAAAATTTTTTCCCCACATTGTAGGTTGTCTCTTAGCTCTGTTGGTGGTTTCTTTTGCAGTGCAGATGCTTTTTAATAAGATGAGATCCCAGTTGTTGATTCTTTGTAATAGCGCTAATGTCTTAAATAGCCACATCTCCATTGCCCCCACCTTTACAGATGGTTCCTTATGGGCAAAAATTTAAGTTTTTCAAAAATTTTAGTTCTTCTTCTTGCCCCTGATTCTCACTCTAAATCTATCTAAAAGCTGCCAGTAGTGCTCATGCTACAGCCTGAATATTAGCCTGTCTTAAAGTTTCCTCCACCAGATTAATTAATCTACTGCCATTAATCTCAGTATCCCACAAAGTCTTAGGACATGGGCAACATGTAGACAATTTTTTTTTTGACAGAGCATAAAACATATGGCCTCTATCCAGCTGCTAATAGAGTTCTTGTTCCCAAATGAAAACTCCTGAGCCTGTCCTTTACTGTGAATATTCCTATCAGTATTCTGGTCTTCTGAGCTCTGACCAGAAGACCCATACGGCTTTGCTTCTAGAATTCTAGGGATTCTGTAGCCCACATCTCCAAACCTTTCCAAACTCTTCACCCAAACCAGTTTCAAAGGCTTCTAAACTACATTGTCAAGTATAGGCAGAGCAATAACCTTACTCCTGGTACCAACTTTCTGTATTGGTCAGCTTTCTAATCTATGAGACACCCACAACTTAAGAGGGGAAACATTTAATTTAGCTCACAATTTCAAGTGCTTCAGTACATGGTCAATAGGCACCAAGGCAGAAATCTCATGGTGAAAAGGTGTGATAAATAAAAGCTGCTTAGTTCATAACAACCGGGAAGCAGAGCTCAGTAATAGTACTAAAGCAGAAGGAGTGGGGAACCAAACACAGATCCCTAGGCCGTGTCTCCATGACCCCTTGGAGATGTGTAGGAACACAACACAAATTGTGCTCTATCAATCCTAATGTCATATCTCAAAGCCAATCAAGTTGAAACTCCACCCTAACTGCCACATCCTTTATTATTATTAAGAACATTATCACCAGATACACCTAAATATTAAAGTTAACATTTTTTTGAATTAATGCCAGAAAGTTGAGAGTAGGAGGAAAACTGGAAGAAGTGGAGAGTATGGGTGTGGATTATAGCTTCCTGAGTTGGCTAAAAGACCAGAATTTGAACTGTAAATAATTTTTTTTGTCATTTTTTTCATTTACCTTCCAGTGCTCTTCTTTCCAGCTCACAGGTTCTGTCCTAAATCAGTGTTCCCTGCTCCAGACCAATAAGTCAGAGTTCCTTGTTTGATAACTCACAGTCCTGTACCTCAGTCAGAAGTCCTCCGTTCTTACTGTCTGTGACCTTTTCTCCTCAAATCTGATTATTACTGGGGTGGAAGGTCCTTGCTGAATTATGGAGTTATAGTGTCTTAATTTTCAGGTCTTTTAAAAAATCCTTTTGCATGATAATTCTGTCATAGTTTTTGGCTTAAAATCTTTCTTGTGCTACAATGTTTGTATTGACATCTTTTATTCTTCAGATTTTGAATGAATCTGGTGATTTTATGGGGCTGATAGCTAATGAAAGTATTTTTCTTAGACTCTAGAGTCTGCTATGGATTGGGTATTTCCCAAAAGTCTATGCAATAAAGATTTAGTCCCCAATGTGGCAGTATTGGAAAGCAGTAGAATCATTAGAGGGTGTGGCCTAGCGGAGGAAGTAAGGTTATTGGAAGCACACCCTTGAATGGGATAGTGTGATCCCTGACCCCTTTCTCTTCCTTATTTTTTGCTTTCTAGGCATGAGATCAGCTCGTGTTTCCTGCAATTGCCATCTGGCACCCTCACTAGAGACTCAACACGATGAGACTACCTTATTTTGGACTGAAATTTCCAGAACAGTGAGCTAAATAAATATTTTCTTTTAAAAATTAATTATCTCAGATATTTCATCATAGTGACAGAAAGCTAACTAAACCGTTGAAGCTGAAGTTGTTGCTTAGTTACTCCAGAAATGTAAACCTGGGTGCATGAGCAGTGCTGCTCCGAGCCCGCCAGCCATGGTCTCCTGAGCCAGCTACGCCATTACCCCTGTCACTGTGGCCCATTACAAATCTGCCAACTGGAAGCGCGAGCAGTTCCAGAGGTACTTGGAGAAGTCAGGCGTGCTGGACACGCTGACCAAGGTGTGGGTAGCCTTATATAAAGAACCAGAGAAACCTAGTAGTGCTTTGGATTTTTCAAAGCATCACTTAGGAGCTGCTACCCCAGAAAATCCAGAAATTGAGCTGCTTCACCTAGAATTGGCAGAAATGAAAGAGAAATATGAAGCTACTATAGAAGACAATAAAAAACTGAAAGCAAAGTGTGCTCAGTATGAACCACCTCATGAGGAGAAGTGTGCTGAATAGGATTCTTCTCAGTTGAAAAGACACTGAAAAATGGTTTTGTATGACTGGAATAGTTTGTATAGTATATAATCCTTTCTGAACAGATGCTATAAAACTTTTAATATGTTAAATTCACCTATCACACTTTAAATGTTATAAGCACATATACTTAGAATCATCAATAAAATCTCAATATAAATTTCTTTGGGTCTTAATGCAGGAGAATCCAAAAAAAGTAAATCCTGAAGAAAACCTAAACAGCCATCTAATTCATTAAAAGATGTTCTATTTATTAGTCTGATTAGGAGTAATAGTAGTGGTTGTATTTTACCCAAGGAAGTTTAGCATGGAGCTGTTCCTTGGTTTAGTTCAGGATATGAGCACAGGTACAATCATGCTTTACAATGAAGATGAGTGTTTTTATTCCCTGTAGGAAAATGGAGAAATCTGTGTGACATATGATGCTTTTGGATAGGTTGCCATGAATTTTCTGCTCTTGTTTATATAATGCAGAACAAGTAACTCTTCTTTGCCACCACTTTGCCTTAGATAACTATGTGTGTGTCAGTTTGAACTCTGACACCACTTTTTTCTTCTATGCAATCATGCCCTACCTGATAATGTTGCCTTGCTTTGCTATGTACTTTAGTGGGTCCTAGTTGCTCATTAGCCTTTGTGTGTTGTTCATTTTGTTTAATAATACAGATACTCTGATTGTAATTTATATAATTTAAACAGGATCGCACTGTTACCCTGCCTTATCTAGTTGCTTAGTTAATACAGACAGAAGTAATATAACATTCTGGGTTCATGCACAAGCTGGGATGAGAAGGGGAATGAGCATTTATCACTGACAATTATAGTTTATGGGTATAATCATATAGTTCTGTTTTCCCCTCAAAGTATTTTTCTAGCTTTGAATTCATTTTATCTTCATTATCCCTGTGAAGTAGGTGGGGCATATATGAGGGGAGGCTGGGTGCTGAATTTTTAGGCTAAAGACTGATACTAACATAAATTATTTACTAACTGTAGAAGTCTGGGCACATCAGTTAACTGCTCTGAGGTTTACTTTCCTCATCTGTTAAATGAGAAGAGCATCTGTGCTGCCTACCTCGTAGGATTGTTGTGAGGGTCAAATGAGAATGTATGTGAAAGATTTGTAAATGGTAAAGCACTGTATTCTTAAAAAAAAAAGAAAGAAAGAAATGTAAACCTGCACTGTGACTGTGATATCAACAAAGAAAATTTTTCTAGTATTGCAGAGGCCACAGAAACAATTCTGGTGCTGACTGAAAGTTTTCCAAACATTGTTTAAGTTCCCTTATTATTCAGTTGGACTTCTCTCTGAGGATAGAAGTTATACTAAAAGCAAAGTTTCTTAAGTATAACATTACTGGCTCATAAAGGTATAAATCTTAAAAATTTGCATTGAAGTAGAGTTAGTCATGGTACCAGTGCCTAGCATAACCCTAGCCTGAGCACCACTGGCCTGGATATCACACACTAATCACCTTCAAATAGGGGCATTAGTTTCTCCTGACATTTAGTTCAGTGTATGGATTTGATTTTTATTAAATAGAATTCTGGGAGTGAGGAAAATTAGTCTTGTTATGTTTCCAGTATTCCTAGGTTTTGTATTAGATTTTGATGAACAAAACTACAAAAGGCTTTTGGTTGTAATACAGATTATATTACATGTTGTAGCAGTAATTTTGTTAAAACTACTGCATTTAAATTTAGTTTTTCTCATGATCAGATTCTATTCCAAGTAAGTATTCTATAAACCCAGTGTATAATATGTACTTGAGGAAAACAATACATATTTGGTCCACATTAGAAAAATTTTACATAAGTTAGCCTTATTTGCATATGAAATATTTTTAAATATACTGCGTGTAAAATTTTGTTTCATTTAAAAAACTTTAGAGGTTTTGTCTATTTTCCTAGATCAATTAACCATACTTTAAAAAAGAATTTCCATCTACTTTTTTCCTTGTATTTTCTTTTTTTAAAAAAAAATTTTATTGACTTTATGGGTACATTTTAGGTATACCTTATGATCACATTCATCTTTGAGAATTTGTCCCTGTGCATGATATAACTTGATTCTTATTTTTTCCCATTCATCTGCCTTCCCTTCAACCCCTCCACTCCTCCTTATATACATAAGATTTATTTCTGTTTTTTCCTTCTTACCTTCAATTATTTACTTCCCCTTCCTTCCTTTCCCCTGCCCCCCTCCTTAGTTACTGAAGGTGTAAATGAGAACCAAAATGTATAATAGATATTGTGAAATAGGAAGAAAATTTCCATCTACTTTTGTAAATTAATCAGAATAAAATGTACTGGAAAATGCAAAGTATGCTTCTTGAGAATATTAATTATCATTTTTTCTAATCTATTTGCCCAGCATTTAGCATTAAATATATATCAAATGAAAGAATGTCTTAGTCCATTCTCTGTTGGTATAACAGTACTGAAACTAGGTCATTTAACAGCAGTATAAATTATTTTGGTTTGTGGTTCTGGAGGCTGCTGTTAGTCAGATTTCCAGCACTATAACAAAATACCTGATATAATAAAATTATAAAGAGAAAAGATTTGTTTTGGCTCATAGTTTTGGAAGTTTTAATCCATGATTGGTTGGCCTCATAATTAGGCCTGTAAAAGTCAGCATGTCATGATGAGAGTGTGCAGTGGAAGAAAACCACTTGCTTCATGGCCAAGAATAGAGAGGTGAAGGGGCCAGAGTGCCACAGTCTCCTTTGAAAGCATCCCCCTAGTGACCAAAGGACCTTGCACTAGGCCCCACATCTCAAGGATTCTACCACCTCCAAGTGGTGCCACTATGTTAGGTTTCCATCACTATACCAAAATACCGGAGGTAATCAAATTATAAAGAAGAAAGCTTTATTTTGGATTCACACATATAGAGGTTCTAGCCCATGTTGAATCTGTTGCTTTGTGCTTGTGGTGAGGCAGCACATCATGGCAAGAGTGTGTGGCAGAGTAAAATGGCTTGCCTCATGGCTAGAAAGCAAAAGAGTAAAGAGGGAGACAGAGATTTACAATCCTCTTCAAAGGCATACCCCAAATCACCTAGCACTCTCACACTAGACCCCACCTATTAAAGGTTCCACCACCTCCTAATAGTACCTCTCTGGGGACCACATATTTGACACATAGGCCTTTGGGGCCCTTCAACATCCAAAGTATGAGATTGGTGACTGCATCTGGTGAGGGCTTCATGCTGCTGCATCTCATTGCAGAACATGGAAGGGCAAATGGGTTCACACAGATGAGGCAAAACACAAGGGGGCAGCCTTGTTATAACAACCCACTTTCATCAAAATGAATTCAGTCTCACATAAGCAAGATCTCACTAAAGAAAGACATTTATCCATTGCTAAGGGCTCTGTCTCCATAATCCCAATACTACCAACTAGGCTCAAACTACCAACTAGGCTCAAACCCCCAATATTACTACGTTGAAAAGTTATATTTTCAACATATTAACTTTAAGAGAACACCCTCATACCATACCAAGAAATGAGCCTCAGATAATTAAGTGACTTCCCCACAATCACTCAGCTTTGAAAAACCCTGTTTTAGGACCACTCTGTATAACATGTTGGAAATGCTACCAATATGAGGCTGGAGCAGCCATTTTATAATCATAAGGAGTCAAACAAGAGAAAGAAATTAAATTCAAACATGATACTGGCTTCAAAATCCAGTTTCTAGATGAAAGGTAGCATCCACCTCTACTTATTTACTTTCTGTAATGACAGAAAAGTAAATCCTATAATTGTTTAAAATGCTATGAGACAAGTTCTATATTACTTGTAGCTTAAAGTATTTCTAATGGACTCCTCTTTTCTCATGAGAGCTACAGTCCTTGTTTCAGTACTCATATGAACTGAAAGAGTTTGGAACACTGGATTTGAACAGACATGCATTGGAGATTCTGTGTAGTCAGAAAAATACTGTCATTTTGTTTCATTTGGCATATGGGAAACTAGAGGGATCCTTATGTGCTTCAAAGATCAGGAGGTAAGAAAGGGGGAAAGATGGGACAGAGACATTGTACACCAAAGTTTAAGACTCAGTTCTAAGACTGTGAGACTTATCTATACCAAATTCACTCTAAACATCTTTCAGTGCAACACTAGATTTGCAATGCACTTACTCAACAGAGAAGTCCTGAGAAATATGGAGTAAAGGGGAATGAAAAGAGGCAAACATGAGTGGATGCGAAAATTATGTGGAGTTGAAGAATGTACTTTCATGTTGAATAGCTTGAGTGCGGTGGGTTGGGACCATGAGAAAAAAATGTCATGACACAGGTCAGCAGGAGTGACTGAAGGAATTAGCCAGAATAAAGAGGTTTCCCATTGTGCCTAAGACCCACGAAGCCTTCTTAACTGCTTATGTGTGTGATTTAGCAATTTGCACATGCACAGTAAGTTAAGGACTCTACCTGTACTGTTACAAATTTTCAAAGGGGTTTGGCATCCCAAAAGTGGTAGAGATACTTCTGATCTGGTCAAACTGAGGGACTATAGAAAACAAGTGAGCAGGCATTTCAGCCCCAAGAGGGGGCTACACAGACATTATTTTTCTCTTTCTTTCTTTCTTTCTTTCTTTCTTTCTTTCTTTCTTTCTTTCTTTCTTTCTTTCTTTCTTTCTTTCCTTCCCTCTTTCTTTCTTTTTTCTTTCTCTCTCTCTCTCTCTCTCTCTCTCTCTCTCTCTCTCTCTCTCTCTCTCTCTCTCTCTCTCTCTCTTTCATTTCATTTTTTTTTGAGGCAGGGTCTTGCTATGCATTTCAGGGTGGACTTGAACTCACCAGGAAGCCCAGGCTGGCCTCAAACTTGTGACAATCCTCCTGCCTCAGACTCCCTAGTGCTAGGATTACAGGTGTGTACCACCACACCTGGCTATGCACAGACATTTTCTAACATTTGAAAAAAAAAAATCAAAGCTCAAGTGTGAAATCAGTTACAGTCACAGACAACTGT